GCTTTCCTTCCAACCACCCCCCCTCTTTTCTGCCCAGCCAATCTTTCCCTACCTTTGGGTGGTGGTTTGGGCTCTTGGGTGGACTGTCTGCATTCAAGGGAGCGTCACCTTCTTAAAGAGAAACTTACCTTAAATAGGTTCTGCCACTTTTGTTCTGATCCTGTTTTCTGGGGTGTTAGCTACCCCATCCAGCTAGCTAAGTGCCACCTGTAAAGTTAATGAACTTGCTCAAAATGTCTTCATTGGACTGTTGATAAAATGGATTTTTAAGACTCCACCTCTCCCCTTTCCTTCTTAACCTGGGCCCCTGCCTCCCTTCCTTCACATTCCCTCCCGTCTTCTCTCCTGTTCCCTTTTCACTTTTCCCTGGCTTTGTCCTCAGCTGCTTCAGCTGGCTATTTCCAGAGATGATTCTGATCTATGCCCCTGTGTCATGGCTCTACTTGGCCTGCCTTTCTCACAGACACAGGCATTTCCCCGAAGGGCACCCTGAGGGCCTTGCTGAGAAGTTAAACCAAGTCCCAATGCTCTGATGTCCCCATTGATGATAGCTCGGCTGCCAGCATTCAAGAAGTGCAGAGCCCAGATGGCTTCCCTATCACCTGGCTCCAGGCAGAACTGCACACAGGGGTCTCCTTTGTCCTGAGACAAGGGAGAAAGGTCATCATTGCCTGGGTCAGGCTGGTGCTGGGGTGCAGTCTGTCTTCACTGGTAGGTAGGAGGGTCTGCTTCCATCATCCTGCTTGAGGCTCAGCACTTCATGGTTCTGAAGATGACTATCCAGCCTGGGCTTAGGACCTTTCCTAGAACTGATGACGTTAGTTTCTCTGGAAATTGTGGCTAATTTATGCCTCCCTCCCAACGATCCTGATAATGGGTAGAGCCCTAGTACTGTTTCTGTTAGGGGTGGAAATGATGGTCTTGTTTCTGGTGATAAAGCAGCTTTTTTGAACTAGATGGGAGACCCAGAAGAGTGGCCAGCCTGGTTCCCTGAGACCAAGACCGGTTTCTGATTTATCCCCGGTTGTGGGGAACACTGGGGAATCCAGAAGGGATGTTAGCAGCTCAGAAAGGTGCAGGCCACTCTGCTGGGAAGTCCTAGCCCCTGCAGCTTGGGAGCATCTCATCTGGGGGGAGATCAGAGCCAAAGCACCTGCTGCCTTCCTGTTTATCTCAGGTATGGCCACTTGACCTCTGGCAGAAAGAGAAGTTACAAGTAAACGACCCCAGTGTGGAGGAGACCCTGGGGAAGGGTGTCCAGGCTCCTGATCCGGGCTGTAGAGGGTGGAGTTAGCACAGCATAAACTGAGCTGGTAGGCTGTTCCCCAGGCTCCTCAGTCAACCATGACCCTGCAGCAGCTTTGTGGTTTAAAGGTAGAGCCAACACCAAGCAAGGTGTATAAACAAAGGAGTATGAAGTCACCTTGACATTGTTCTCAGCCTGGTTGGATTCTCAGAAAGCCTTGGGGGTGGGCGTGGGCTCCTTAATGAAAGAGGAACTTGGGAAAACTGGAGCCAATTCAGAGAAGAGCCCAAGGAGGTTTGAGTTAGCTCTGTGGGGAAAGTTTCAAGAAATGGGTAACGCTCAGCTGGAGGAATGGAGAGCTGAATGAGGAACCAGAGTTCACTTTAACTGTTACGTGTTGAGGGTCTAGTATATACTTGCTCTGTGCTAGGCCCAGCAGAGGAGGGGGAGACTCTAAGCTCTGCCCTCAGGAACTGAGGATTTGCTGCAGAGATAAGTGCCATGCATGTGAAATGATCAAAATGAACAGATAATACAGGATTAATTGCTGAGCTGAGTGTTCCAGTCAGTCAGTTAGAAGAGCTTGTTGAAGGGAGTTTCGTTTGGGCCAAACTGGTTAGAGAAGACTTTGGGGAGAAGGTGGAACTTGTGCTAAGCTTAAGGAGAGATAAGCTAAGGTTTGACAGGGCAGAGTGGAAACTGAAGAGCATTCCAGGTGGAAGGGAGGGCATGAGGGACTTCCCTGGAGGTCCAGTGGTTAGGACTCTGTGCTTTCACTGCTGAGGGTCGAGGTTCAATCCCTGGTTGGGCCAAAAAAAAAAATAAATAAAAGAGGGAGAAAGGCACGAACAGTGGTGCAGAGGTGGGAATGATGATAGAATATTCAGGGCACAGAGGAGATGGGCCTGGCTATGAATGGCCAACAGGGCAGTAGGTGGTGGCAGGACATGGCGGACCTGTGCAGGCAGCAGCTGCAGCTGAAGGGCTGTGGCTCAGCTGGGAGGCTGCGCCAGGTGGGAGATCATAGAAAGAGAAGAGCAGAGGGTGAGGAAATCAGGCTTGGGCAACACACAGGATTGGGGGTGGGAGAAGGAGCTGAGCCAGTGCAGGAGATAGAAAGTAAACAGCCAGAGAGGGAAA